TTCTGCCTCTGCGATCGCTTTCCGCCGGCAGCACGAGCATCACCGCCCGCTCCCGGCTGCGCCGGTGCGGCAGGTGTCTTGGGCTTCCTGCGATTGCAGGGGCAACCTTGTCCTGCTTCGGGGAAGTCTTTCCTTGCTTCACGAACTTGCAGGTTGTCTCACCTTTCGTTCTTCCGCTTCCCCACTTATCCGTGGGCAGGCCTAATCGATGGACCGTCGCAGCCATAGCAGGCCCATTGTCTGCCCCCGCCACCCTCATTTTACCCGCCTGTCAGGCGGGCCTGTCTATTTCTAGAATTGGGGGTCGACTCATGTTCAGAAATTGCCCACTGTTCTCTGTCCCGCATCATGAGGGATTCGACTCGGCGCAAGAGCTACTGATGTGTTCTCCTTCCCGTGCCCGGAGGATCTGTTGACAATTCATACCACTGCATTGCATTCTCAAGCCTAGGGGCCTGTCGGATCTGTTCATAGAAATGAGTAGTATTGAAGCCTTCATTTCATCCGATGGTTCAGTGGCACCGTACAATTCTTGGTACCGCTCCGTCCATTCGCTATAAAAGTAATGCAAATCATGATCAGGCCTTGTCGATCAGTGGTCAGTTTGAAGAGGTCTCGGCATATCCAATGTTGCCCGCTCTCCGACCTGACAGACCACCAAACGCACATGGCTCGCATCAGTTCCCGACCCGTCAGGAGACGCCCTTCTATCTGACACGAATGTTCCATGCTATTGATTTGCGACAGGAAATGAATATGTTGCACTGACAGACGTTGGTTACGTTTCATCCTCGCAAACTTCTCAAGCAGGTTGGTAGCGATCATCATATCAAGGCGCATCTATGCCCGCGAGTCTCTAAGATTCTCACGGGGCACATCAGGGCCCATTGCTTTGCTGACCCATGCCTGTGCCGCGCGAACGTCATGCCGTGATCCAGCTACCGCTCTTATGCAATGTTGCTTCCATTCTCGGAATGTCTGGGCACTCCGTACATCAGGCAAGTTTAATTCTTTTTCGAAGCTTCGGCCCTGGGCGGCTGGGACTTATCCGTCTCGTCAAACTGCAACGCAACAGTCACCCCTGCGCTGGGGGCAGTGCTCGGATCGTCTCCTTGATCGTCGTCGCGGCCTCCCAGGCCCCCACCCCCCCCCGCCAGAGACGGCTGGGCCGACGGCGAAAGGAAGGCGCCCAGGCAAGTCGAGGTTGCTAGGGCGGCCCGACATCTTCGCATTGAGAGGAATGTTTCCAGGGTTCGTTCCTTGAGCGCCCCCCGCGTCGGACCTTCGCTTGCCCCCGAGGTCCCCTCGCAGCCGGCCCAGGAATGAAATGCGATTTTGCGAGAGGGGGCGTCGGCATCGACGAAGCAGTCAGCATCGGCATCTTGCCAAGATCCGACGTTTCTGATTTGAAAACTGGCATGCCCAGGACACCGGCAAGAGTGCTCACCTGGCGTTCGGGCTCAACATCCACGGGTGATCAAGGCCGAGTGTCTCGGCGCCTTCCCGTCAGGATCGCCGTCTGCGCTCTGAGCACCAGGCGCGCCTCGGGGTTCCCCCCTCTCCTCGCAGCCCCCCTGATATCCTATCGTTTTACCCCGGGCGCATTCGTCGCAGCGTTCATTGCACGCGTGCTTCAAACAACCCTTGCATGCATCGGTCGAAGGCTGCGCGCAAATGCGACAGGCCTGATTCGGAGAGCCCAATCGCGCTCGGGCTCGCGACGCGCCAGGCGTCGCCATAGGGCGAGCAGCAATGGGGCGAGAAGGCGGCTCAACATGCACCGACTGTGCCGGCGTTGAACCAACCTCTTTCTCGATCCGCCGTCGCTCAAGGTCAGACCTCAACCTTCTATTTTCCTCGCTCACGGCCCGAGTTGCAAGGACGTTGTTTCTTATCTGTTCTCTTGCGTGCCCCTTCAGACGGCCCCGGGCATCGGCCATTATTTTATGCATATCTTCTCTGTTTGCTTGGGCATTCTGTTCTTGTTCTCTAAGGGCTCGCAGTGCCTCAGATTTCACTCTTCCGGCCTCGAGTCTAGCTGCCCCCAGTTGATTGCGGAGCTCCTGATTTCCTCGCGCTGCCTGTTCTCGGGCTTCTCTCTCTCCTTCCCTCCACGCAGCATCAGCCATCTCTCTGTATTCAGCTTTCTCTCTTTCGGCCTCCTGCTGAGAGTGAGACACCAGTTTTTGCCGCTATGCTCTGGATTTCAATGTTTCTATATCCTCTCGAGCAAGACGCCGATATGCTTCGTCTGCAACGCCCGCTGCGTTGGCCCCAGCATGCTGCATCACTTTCTGCGCGTTTTCCACAACGATGGATTTCTCATGCTCCATCATGCGTGCAATTGCTTGTCTCTCTGCCTCGGAAATCGCAAGCTGTCGTCGAGCTTCTTCGGCGGCCTTCTCACGCTCCTGCGACTCAGAGATAATATGTTGCACGCGCGCACTCACAGCCCTCAGCTGCTCTCGATCCTGTCAGTTTCTTTCCGCCCACTCTTGAATCGCGAGATGGTGGCAGCTGCGCTCTTCCATCGTGACGCACTCGCCACGAAGCCACGCTCGGCTACACTTGGAGCAAACATTCGAACATTGAGAACACACTGGTCTTCGACATGAGCCCCCCGGTTTGTGCGCTTTCCCAAGACGCCGATTCTCCGCCCGAGCGGGGCGCGTTGCCCCGGCGCCCCGGCAGCCCTCCCGCATCGAGAAGCTGCTGGTAGTTCTATTCGATGACATTCGCAGCGAATCAAAGGCATTAACTCCTCTGGAACTGGAACGCCGGGCCCTGGGGGCCTTATTGGAAAGCCCCCTTTCGTTGCTTAGGGTAGGTGCGTGCTGTTCTCTCGCTCTCGCGCCCCTCTTGATGGCGTCAACGCCCATGCCCCTTGCCAGGTCGTCTCGTTCGTCCTGCACGACAATGCACGACAAGCTCATCGAGCTCTGGTACTCTATCTCTGTTTGTTCTGGGCAATGAGAAGTCTGGTATGTGAAAACCATGCGATAAGGGCGAGGTGTTCAAGTCGCCATTCTCACCCTTCGGTTTCTTCGTAGGCGGGCGGGGAGTCATGCCTGTAACTTTTCGCGTCCTTCTCACTGCGCGCATTGCGTCGGGGGAGCTCGATATCGGCTGTGCCGATGAGCATTTACCTCGATTGAAGCTTTCTCCGTCCTTACAGACATCGTCCGAATCAAGGATGGCTTTCTGACTTGCCTCTATGATTATACGGTCAGGAGCGATACCGACACACAAATCAAGGAGAGGCTCGAGATGACGCGACGGACCCGGCCAGGTGTGAACTTGGGCAGATTCCTCGCTCTTTTCTATCGAGTGGGAACTGTCCCCTTCAGATTGTAGATCGCTCACATCCTCACTCTGTCCATGCAACGCACATTGCACTGCGTGCTCGGCGCCCAGACGTTCAGCGCCTGATGTTTCGATAGGGATATGATCCAACAACTTGTCCATGTCGAGATCGATGTCGACCGATGGCTGAAAGCCAGGGTGCACCGCCGCCAAGTCAGAGGGTCCCTCGGCCGAAGTTTCGGCTGTGCCATACCTTCCGTTTGAGTGTTGCTCTCTGGATCTTGTCACTGAATCAACCGATGAGCCCCCTTCTGTTAAGCCGAACATAGTCTCTGATGCTTTCATACTGAGAAGGTTAAGAGGTATCGGTCGCCTCGTTGAGGCGCTTATACTTGTGTTACGCTCGGGAGGTATTAGATCTTCTGTTCACCCGAGCGTTACTCCTTGAGATCCCATGCTCTGCGAAGCGAACGACTGTGCCGTCGCTTCGGCTGATAACCAATCTTTTGCCTGGATAATCATAATCCCTGCAATATGTTCCGATTATATTTAATGGTCACTGGGCTCCGCATATGACATGGGTAAGAAGGGATAGTGCCGTCAAGCATACACTTAAGGTAACACTGAAGGGAGGAGGCCGGCCCGCCGGCCGACGCACGCGCGCGCGCGCCGCAGGCTCGCTCCTTCTCCGTTTCCCTAGAGCCAAAGTCTATAGCTGCGGGAGCAAAATAAGTCAGTACAGCAGGCGAACAGCGCGTGCAAGGAGAGAGAGCAGGCAGTGCAAAATAATGGTGGCGCGGAAGTGGTGCATTGACTGGAATAGGTGGGAATTCCTAGGAGTGCATAGGAATAGCTAGAACATCTTCGGAATAACTAAGAAAAATAATCATAGCTGGGAATATAGCTCGGAGTAAGTCGGAACGAATAGCTAGGAATAGCTGGGAATACATAAGTATGCATACGTTGGTATAGCGAAGAATAGCTAACAGCTGGTCGGGATAGGTAGGCCAGAACACATAAGAATTGCAAAGGGTAGGCAGGAGGACACGGGAACAGCTAGGAATAGATTAGACCATGTGGGAAGATGTAGCTCGGAATACATAGGAATAGCAAGGATTCGGTGGGGATAAGTAAAGATGAACAGGAATAGCTACGAATAGGTCGGAATCGCCAAGGATTTGTGAGGACAGGGGATAGGTAGGGATAGGCAAAAAAAGGGTAGGAAGAAACAGTAACAGCTAGGAAAAATAGGATCAAGTAAAATGTACTAGGAATATGTCTGAATAACCAGGAATCGTTCGGAGTAGCTCAGGATAAACAGAAATAGCCAGGACTAGGTCGGGATAGCTAGGAATCAAGCGGACTAGATAAGAGTAGCTAGGAACATGAAAGATCAGTGTAGGACTAAGTAAGAAAAGAACGAATTTCAATTTCGGCAGATATGCGCGCAACATTCTCAAGGTTTGCACTCTCTTGAGCCCCTCTCGAGGGTGACTTTCTCGAGGATGTCTCGCGCGAAAGCCCCAGGGCCACAACTTTCTCATCCCGGATCCACGACTAAGAGGGCACGCCACCGCCAGCACGCGAACCGGGCGAAGAACCGCCCCCGCCAGCGGTGGGCGAGACAAGCGTGGGGGGGGGAGAACGGCGAGGGGGGGGAGGGGAGGAAATTCAAATCCAACGGGGGGATGGGGGGAGTGAGGAGGGATGCAGAAGCGACGCGATTAGAAAAAAACTTCCGGCCGAAAACCCTAATCGCGTCCTTCCCAATTGTGGAACTTGGGAGGGGGTGCATTTTTTCTAATCGGGAGCCCACATTACAAGTCCAACCTGGTCTTCACATGCCCTCGACCTCCTCGAAGGGCGGGACAGCGTGCAAGTAGTCGTTGATAATGCGCGCCTCATTGATCGGCGCCCTAAATGACTCCTGGCGCCCCCTCCGCGACAAGGGCCACCGCGTCAGACTGGTCCGCGGGGTACTGCACCGACATCTAGAGCACATGGACGGTCGCATTGCGGCAGCACTGCCCGCCCGCCGCGCACGGCTCGTTGTAGTCCAGCCACCTGCCGAACGTCACGGCGATGCCGCTGGAGACCTGCATCTCGCGGATACGAAGGTGCTGGACGAAGCCGAGCGCGGCCATACTATTGTGAATGACGGCCCCTTCTGCACCATCTTGTGCAAGGCCGCCACTAGGAACTTCGATCTCTCGTGGGTCGTGATGCGGATATTGCGGATATCGATTTTGGCCACCGACTCCGCGAACAGAAAACGTGGATTACCCGACTGGCAGCCAGAAGCGAAGAATGGCTCAGACAAGTGTAGCGTCGATGACGATCCAGCATAGCGCAAGAAGAGGCCCGCGTAGGAAATATTCCCGGCAGGAGCGCCCGCAAGTAAATGCACCGATCGAAATAGTCACCCCTTATCTGGTACCTCGGTCAGCCGGGCCATACGGGCCGACTGTGCCGCAAACTTGGCGTCGCAGATCAATACTGGTCTGCTCAGCTGTGGAGAGGGCCTCCTGCGAGCGTCCTTTATCCGCCTGCATGGAGTCCTCCAAGGGCGGCACCACACAGACGTCGCGGCCGCCACCCTGGATCACCCAGGGCCTTCTGCACTGCCATGCGTGGTGTTGAGGAGCATGCCGATGGTGCGGTTCTGATTGTCGATGAACTGCGCCTGGTGGTCGATAACGTGGTCACGCTCAAGGGAAGTCACGGACCGGGCGCCAGAAGCCTCCATGCACTTCGAAACTGAACTGGGAAACGCAAAGATGATCGGGTCCGCGTTGCTGACATGTGACGCTGACATAGATACTCGTTGTCTGTGCACAGCTTCATCGCTAGAAGGCGTCCATGTCGCGTGCTCGCCTAATGCAGATGTCCCCGCAGGCGCGTATACTGGAACAGAGGCGCGGAGGCCACTCCCCACACGAACGGGTACATCGCGATGATCAGGACTACCTGAAGGGTCCATCACCGCGAAGAGGTACCTCGACTCGAAAACGCTTGTTGCGCCTCCATGTGTCGCGTGCGCTGAGGTCCTCATTGGCTTCTCTCTGAGAGAGCTCGACACGCTGTTTGGTCATGTGTTTGACTACATTGTATGCGAAGACAACTGTTATAAGCTGCGTTCGGCATCCAGGCGAACGGAACAACGTGCCTCTCGTAGCACTGGCAAGCCCCTGGAAGTGCTGTCAAAAAACTCCAGCAAGCGTGTCGAGCAGCCAATCCCGGAGCTGGTACATAAGAAGAGTTGTGTTCACGAGGAGGAAGCAGAAAAACACTACACCTTATGCAGTGTGAACCAAAAATAGCTACGGAGGGGGAGGAGGAGGAGGAGGAGGAGGAGGACGAGGGAGCAGAAGGCGTGACGGGTGGGAAAGGAGGAGGAAGATGAATGGATAACAAATGTTGCTTTTCGAGCCCACACTGGTTCGGGCATTGGTAAATTTGGCTTTTTTCCCGCTGCTCCTCCTCGTCCTCCTCCTTAACTTTCTTTTTTTTATGCATTCCGCCCCCTTGAAAAATAACTCCTCTTCGTCGTCACACCACCAGACGTTCCGGTAGGGCGCGCAAGTCATTTCGCATGAGACGTGTCCACGTATTCGGATGATGGAGCTTGAAACCTCCAGCAGCTACGCCGATAGAGAGCGGGTGACTTTCAAAATGAGTCTCTCGCTTTGGCGCCGCTCATTTTCCCTTATCAAGCATCCAACAATCGCACAACTTGACAACACAACGTTTTCAACATGCGAGAGACGCTTCAGCACTGCATACGTTCGCCCCACTCGCTTCAAACGGCTATGCGGATGCAGAGCGGGTGGTTTTCAAAGAGTGGCTCTCGCTTAAACGCCAGTCGTTATAAAACAGTGCAATATCTGCACGGCTTGAGGGCGGGCGGTTTTCAAGCTCTGGCTCTCGCCAGAGAATGCCTCACACCTTGCAATGATAAACCTTTACATTCGCGGCAAAGGTTGAAGCCCTGAATGAGTCTAGAGGAATCGACGGGAAACCTAAAAAACACCTGAAGACTCTGCAGAACCCTGAAGAAAGCCGAAAAAATCGCTGGCCCAACGGCCCAACTTGCCAGATCTCCGGCAATTGTTTTAGAGTATTTCTACTTCGCGCGCTCGGGGCGGCCCCTGGGGCTCCCCGGACCAGTACCCCGGCCGGTTCGGATCAGAGATGGTTTTCCTTCTGGGCGCCGCCCTTCAGGCCAACCAGAGCGTTCCGAGAGGGCTCCAAAAGGCCCCCAAGACGGTTCAAGAGGGCTCCCAGTCGTCGAAAAATCTGTCCAAGACGCCCAATGTGGCCTTCAGATGGCCCAAGACGCCTTTCAAACGCCCCAAGAGGTCACCAAGAGCCCCCCCAAGAGGGCCCACAGAGACAAAAAGTTATGGAATCCCTTTGGTTGTTCAAGGATTTAAGCGTTCTCGCCTTCCCGTATTACCCGCGCTCCAAGACGGCCCAAGAGGCCCCCAAGATCGCCCAAATCCGGCCCAAGACGCCTCCAAGACGGCACCAAAACGGCCCTAGAGGGCCCGAAGACAGCACGAGAGCCCTCCAAGACGGCCCAAGAGGCCCCCAAGAGAGCTCCAGGAGCGAGCCCTGAGGAGGCACCCGAACGGACATTTCAGCTCTCGGCCCCGAGAGGCCCCCAGAATGCCCCAAGAAGCCCTCAAGAGGCTCGAAAGAGGCCCCAAGAGGCCCCCAAGAGGCCACAGGAGGTCCCGAAAATACCGCCGAGAAGCCCCCGAGGGACCTCCCAAGAGACCCAGGTGTCTTGTCCACGATCAAGTTTGGCCCGAAAATGCCCCAAGAAGCGGTCGAGAGGCCCCTCAAAGAGACCCCCAAGAAAGTCCCAAGACATTTCGAGACAGCCCCGAAACGGCCCAAGAGGCGCCCAAGACAGCCCAAGAGAGCCCCAAAACGGCCTCAAGACGGACCCAAGAGGGGGAACACGAACCGACAAGTCGAGCCTTGCGCCCGAAGAGGCCCTCAGGAAGCCCCAAAAGGCTTCCAAGGCGCGCAATATGGGCCGGCGGAACGAGCGAAGCGATCAAATAATGATGCCTGAAGAAACCGGAGTTTTCTCTAAAATTCCAAAGGAATCCTGGGTAACCCCGAGGAGCCCAAGGGAATCATGAAGAACCTTGAGGGCACCTGCAGAACCCTCAAGAGCGCTGATCAATCCTGCGGGATATTGAGAAATCCTGGGTCCTGCACCCGAAGGTCTTAAAAGCTTGACGTCTCCGACAAATACACGGATGGAGGGAAGTTCGTTTTCAAGATCGTGCTCTCTCCCTGGTGCCACACAAATGCTCTGAAAGGTCCTACCAGTTGCACAGATGGAGGCTGGGTCCCTCTAACACTGGTTAAGGTTTGGAACGTTCTGCGGTCGCATACGTATGCACATGCGCGCAGGAAACTAATCTCGACGCTGGCGCTGCTCGCAGTGGCGAATGCGGGGAACACGAGAGTGTTGGGCCCCTGTGGGGCCCCCAAACTGGCCGAAATCGGCGCGTTCCCCAGCAACGCGGACCACATCATCTCAACCTGAATGGAATCGGCTGCTGATGCTGCTGGTTCGATGCTGAACGGGCGCGGAGCGCCCATGTCCGCCTGCTCATGCACACCTCGGAGCACAACAACAAAATCCCATCGCGCAAGTCCACGGGGCCTCGCCTTCCCAGCGGGCGCCCACCGTGGCGCATCAACAATGCGCGCCCGCTGCTCCTGTCCTCCTCCTCCATCCCTCTCTACAAGACTTCAGCCAGCAGCCGGGTACAGCTAGACGCGCCTCCTGCAGCACACAAACCACGCCAAAAGACCCTGCATTGTGCTCGCAGACCCTGCCCCGATCTTCGCTGTGCGGTAAGCGTGTGGAGAGGGAGAAGTCCTCCATCTCCTCCTCCTCCTCCTCCTCCTCCTCCTCCTTCTCCTCCTCCTCCTCCTTTTCCTCCTCCCCCTCATCCTCCTCCTCATCATCATCCTCCTCCTCTTCCTCCCTCCCTTCCTCCTCATCCCTCACCCCCCTCATCCTCCCCCTTCTCAATCATACTCACTCCCCTCCTCCTCCTCCTTCTCATCCTACTCCTCCTTCTCCTCCTCCTCCTCCTTCTTCCTCCTCCTTCTCCTTCCTCCTTTTTCCTGCCTCCTCCTTTCTCCATTCTCCCCCTCTCCTCCTCATCCTCCTTCTCCTCCTCCTCCTCCTCCTTCTCCTCCCTTCCTCCCTCCCTCCCTCCCTTCCTCCCCCCTCCTCCCCCCTCCTCCTCCTCCTCCTCCTCCTCCTCGTCCTCCTCCTCCCCCTCCTCCTCTTCTTCCTCCTCCTCCATTCTCCCCTCTCCTCCTCATCCTCCTTCTCCTCCTCCTCCTCCTCCTCCTCCTCCTCCTCCTCCTCCTCCCTCACCCATTCCCTCCCTCCCGCCCTCCCTCCCTCCCTCCTCCTCCTCCTCGTCCTCCTCCTCCTCTTCATCCTCCTCCATTCTTTTTCCTTACAGAACTCCTCCCTGTCGCACCCCAAGACCAGTCGAAAGGGCGGGTCTGGCGTTTCGCCTGAGACTTCCTCGCCATCTACGACCCTGAAGCTTCACAGATGGAGGACGGCTCGTTCTCAAATGGCGTCTCTCGCCTAGCGCCGCGCACATTCGTTAACGCAAATTGCAGGAGCTCCACGGATAGAGGGCGGGTCATTTTCAAAATGTGGCCCTCGCCTTAGCCCCGCGAACATTCGTTTTAAAACTGTGCCAGAGCTTCACGGATGGAGAGCGGGTCGTTTTCAACATGTGGCTCTCGCCCCAGCGCTGCGCGCTTATATCTATACATATATATATATATGCATATATATATATATAGATAGATAGATAGAAAGATAGATATATAGATAGATAGATAGATAGATCGATAGATGGATAGATAGATATATAGATATATAGATCGATACATATATATAGATATATATATATATATATGCATAGATAGATAGATATATAGATATAACTTTACCAGACCTTCACGGATTGAGGGCGGCTCGTTTTCAACATGTGGCTCTCGCATTAGCGCCGCGCACATTCGCTTAAAATAATTGCAAGAGCTTCACGGATTGAGGTGGGCTCGTTTTCAAAGTGTGGTTCTCGCCTGAGCGCTGAACACATTCGCTTTAAAACTTTACAGACTTTCACATGCTCTCAACAGTTACGTACCAGAAACGGTGCTTTGGGAACGGTTTATGATTGTTAGGGCGCAACAATTACGTTGACTCGCGATGTCCAAGTCTCAGGAATGGCACTCTGGTACGACTCAGGATCGCCACGACGCAACAGTCAGATTGACTCGTAGAGTTGAAGTCCTGAGAATGGTGTTCTGGCACGCGTCAAGATTTTCACACGGATGTCCCCCAAGAGGGCAATTTCCTCAGTGGAAATGAACACTTGTAGTGACCTATGAGGGAGCTTGGAGGGAGGGTGTATTCCAACATCGTTGATGGGACTTGGGTTTACACCAGCCCTCCTCCTCCTCCTCCTCCTCCTCCTCCTCCTCCTTCTCCTCCTCCTCCTCCCCTTCCTCCTCCTCCTCCTCCTCCTCCTCCTCCTCCTCCTCCTCCTCCTCCTCCTCCTCCTCCTCCTCATCCTCCTTCCCCCGTGGGAAGCCGGCGGGAAGTTCCTGCTGCCGCGCCAGCGCAGGCCCGGCACCAGGCTCCTCCCGGAGGGCGGTCCTCCTGGAGGGAAAGGGGCCCGAGGAGGGGGGGCAGAGACACCCGGGGGAGGGGGAGGGCGACACGGAGCGGAGCGGCAGAGCGGGGCCCGCTGGCCAGCGGGCCCCTTGCGGGCAGCGCGGGTGGGCCAGGGCCCTCACATGAGGTAGTCCTTGAAATACCAGGGGGGGCGACCCAGTGAAGCCTGAATCGATAAAGCACTACGCTTGCTCGGCAGCCACACGGAACAGAACTGCCGTGCACGAATCAGCCTGTGCCTCTGTCGAGCGATGCGCGTAAAATGCTCCTCCAGAAACCCACTCTTGTCGCCGCACGGGCCTGCTGCAGCCCAGCTCCTACTTCCCACTGCGGGAGGCGCCGCCCTGGACAGACGAACGCCGTCGGGAGAGGGGGCGTATCAGGATCAAGGCGGGGCGGCGAAGGGGGCGGCATCGGCATCCGCAGAGGGCAGCTGTGCACCACGCCCTCCCTGAGCAGGGCCATCCTGGGCCCTGGGCATGGTGGATGGGCCCGATGGATCGAGGCTGGAAGGATGTGCGCTGGCCCAGGCCTCCAGGATGACCCTGGCCGGGGATGGTGGCGGATTGCCGCCTTCTGCGAACAATCATGTGAGCGACGAAAAGAAACGGCTCCTGCGTACTATGACATAATTGGCGAACTTGCGCCGCGGCTTGCGGGGGCCGCCGGCGCGGCACGCCACTTTGGAAACGAGGGCGCTTACGCGCGACCTGACGCGGGCAGCTTACACGCCAACGTCGGTGAAGACGAACACGTTTTCCTGCGCCGCCCACCTGTATCTCATTCGCCATGAAGAGCAAGGGTCCTGGAGGCAAAGGGGCCCTGGAAACAGTTCGCCGCTTTCGGGCTGCTGGGGGCCATCCCCAGGCCCCTGGAGCGTCAGAAACAGCTCGGGATGAAGACTGGCCCTGGGGAATGCCCCAGGGCCCAGCACCCGGTTCCACCCAGACCCAGTCCCTCACGCCAACCTGACTGCAACCCTCTGGATTAAAAACGTGCGGAACGCAGAGTTCGCGCAAGAAGGTTCGCAACGTCCCCGTTAGGCCACGGGGCCCCGGTACAATGTTGCAGAGACCTGCCCGGGCGATTCTCTGGTGCTCACATGCCCCCCTATAATACACTGGGGGTACTATAGTTTTGACCATAAGACGTCATGCTCTCGACGCCCCCTGCCCCCCCGTAGAATCTTAGCGACATGTTTTGGGTCGGGCGGCGGTTCGACGCCGATGGGCTCTCACCCTGTAAGAATATAATAATATATGTTTAAAATAGGGTGATAATTACTCCGTCTCATTTAAAATAGGGCCGGAAAACACTCCGACTTGAACCCATTCACAGTAAACCACTCCGCTTGGGTCACGTTTCATCGTCCGCGTCATCATCCCCATCGACCCTGTCCTTATCATGCCAACGCGATGTTTCATTGTATTCCTTGTTGCATTGATGCCGTGAGACCCTGGGCATCCTTCTCCAATGCGGTCGCTCTCGGTTCACTGGTTGGCCGTCCCAGAGGGCCCACAAAGGCTCGCGAATCCGCATCAAGGCACCTTTGCATCCTCATCGGTCCTCCGCGGCACGCGTGACCAGCGAGGCAATTCTCATCTTATGGTCAAAAACTTTAGTACCCCCGAAGTATCAGAATCGCCAAAAATGGAAACCGAACGGCTACGAATGTCAACGCAGTCCGTAGCGCAGTGTTGTCGGAGCCGATTTCTCTGGCTATCAAAGTTTCGATGTAATGTGAATGTCGTGAATCGCAATATTGGACTTGTACATCTCCGCTTCCCACTCGAATGATGACCTGACCCCTGCCGGGATCATGTCGTACAACTGGGAACGGGCCATTCCAGCCTCCCCAGTCGCCCGTAGCTGTGGGACGATGATAATCCACCAAATCTCCTTAATCGTAGTAACGCTGACCGGTGATAATCCTAGTACGTAATGCACGATTGGTCTTGGCTACTGCAATAGCCTGTGTGATGGCTTCAATGCATGCCCAGCGTATCACCTGTTCTCGAGAGTGATCAGACGTTTCTGCTGGCTGTTCGTGATCCAGAACATGCAAGCCAGGGGGCATTGCCGGTTGCCGTCCGAACAAAGCACTACATGGAGACACCTCATTGTAGAAGATAATGCACTGGCGGCAAGCAGGGTTTCGCGCAGTAGCCGTGCGAACACAAGAGGTATGTCTAATCTTTTGAGTTCAGTTTCCATAACGTGAAGTAGATGACGTAATCTGCCATTTCTGGCTTCGATCGTCGTAGCGCGTTGTCCACGCGCGCGCATCCTCAGCTCAGCGCCCTTTGCCTTAAGGACTGCCTTTTCATCGTCGTCGTTAAGGGCACCCTCCACATCGGAGTAGAGTACCTTGGCGGATCCGAATTGCACCCATCACTGATGACACGCATCTAGGAGACTGGTCATTGTCTTATCTGTAAACTCCATCCCCGTAGTATAGCGAATACAACGATCAATGTTGTGAAATATATGGTGTTCCTGTTTGCAGAACATAAGGTCGCATTCGATTTCTTCATTGCACTTGCCAGGTAGCGCAGTGGATGGCACAACGGCATGCCCTGGAGTGCCCCAAGCCCTGCGCCCCCGACATGCGTCGCAGACGCCTTTGATAAGGTTGAGCCTGAGGCTGCCCAGGCCTGCCTTTCTTAAGAAGAGTATCATCTGAAGCTCTTTAGCATGGAACCATCGCAAGTGTAGTTTCCGCAGCTCGCGTGACACCACGCTTGGGTCAAGGTGTCGTAAGTTTTGTAGGCTGAATTGTAGATCGAACCTTGACCAATCTGGGAGTCGTGGGCGCGCAGCAGGGTTACCCGCAGGTGGCGGTGGAGGCGGGTCTCCCCCCTGCTGTCGACCACGTCTGGCTCTGATCTGCGGCAGTCGGCGGCGGTCATCCGAGCTACCAGCTCCACTCGAGGCAGGTTGCACCGCAGCAGGTTCAGCAGCATGGCTGCCTACTGCAATGTCGCGGCTGCTGGCGCCAGCTGCGGGGCCAGCCCTAGAGCCGGATCTCGGTGCTCGTAGCCGCACAAATGGTGGTGCGGCTTGCGCCTCGGGTGGTGGTGATGCCGGTTCGGCAGGAGCTTGTGGTGCCTGTCCGTGGTTGTCTGGCAGTTTCCAAGGGTTTGGCACACTTGCATGCGCCAGGTGCCCGTAAGTGGCCAGGCTTGTTCTGGCCGCACTTCTTCTTGCAACTCGGACGCCCCCAATGGCAATCCTCCTTATCATACCACCTGTAATGTTTAGGGCCTTTGTCATGTGAAGGAGAGTGCATGTTTACATTATCTGCACCTGCAAGACATCCTAATCCTCCCGAGGGCGGTCTCATGATCGACCCGTCGGGCTGTCGAAGGACGGCCGGGTCCTCCAAATCAAATCCCCGCGCGTTGGTGACAAGGACGGTGGGGGAATAAGGGTGACCATGAAAGGGATCGCGGCTTACTTGGAATAGATCGTGCGCGATCTGAACTGCATAGAAAGGAAGGGGCTGCATATTTGAAGTATAGTGCGCTGTCATAAACAGTTCTTTTATCACATACCGAGGCATGCTGATGATGGCCAGTACACCGCTTTCGTTCAAAAGGTGTAAGGAAGGGACGATGGTTGGCCATGCTCTCGGTCGGTTTCCGTATCAATCTCCCATGGGGGGCCTACTTTGCAGGTGCCCTTGCACGTGGCCAACGTTGGCCATGGCGTAATTTGATCCACCCAAATACCCACTGGTTGTTCTCGTAAGTAAAACCGCCGAACGTCGTTTTGACGCATGGCAACTTCCCCACAATACTTGATGTGAAAGGTCTTCCTTATGGTGTTCTGCCACGTGCCAGAATTGACTTGGGGATTGAAATAAGCAGGTAGCCTGGTCGTTCTGCAGCTAGGTTGCAAGATGACAATGTTGACGAAACACACGTCTACACAATGCATCACTGCATCCTGGACATCCTTGATTCCAAGGTAAACGTATGAACGTTTGTCTAAGTTTCCTCCGGAAGACAAATCTCGGCTGAATGCCAACTGCGATATTCCCCCACTTCCTCCACACAATTCCAACATGTCAACCTTATTGTGTCGTCCGTAACATAAAAATTGGGATTCTGGAGAACGCATCTGCACGCGCGTCCGCAGGTGGCCCCGCCAGTAGCGCGATGAAGAACTCTTCTTCGCCATGGCTCTCCGCGTGGGAGTCGAGGGGGCCATCGGTGTAGTAAGCGCTACATCCGAGACCCTTTAGGTCGTCACCGCAGTCGTCGTTGCCTTCTTCGACTACTTCGGGCATCTCGCGCGGCTTGATGCCCGCTCCTGCATCGGCGTTCTGCTTTCCTTTTTGTTTGATGCGGGCACATGTCGGGAGCGCTGTCTGTTGCTCAGTGTCGGACGAGCTGAGTGTCGGAACTTCTGGAATAGAGGGGGGGCACGCGGCCACGCTCAATCGAAGGGGGGGAAGACGATCGTCATCGACGAACGCAACTCGCCTTGGGCGTGGCCGCTGGCCCTCTTGCCCGAAGAGTACGAATATGTGTCACACCATTCGGTAATGGTGCATAGTAATTGCACCCGATAGGCTGATCCTGGACCTCGATGTCTTGCATAATAGTATGACCACCCAGGTTCATCGTTACCCGTCTCACGACATGGTCCAATTCAGTGCCATTCTAAGGAGACTGAACGTAAGTTCGAGCTCCTTCAACCAGTCTTGCGTGGATGCTAAGGTGTACAGCACTCGCGTGATTTTTCGTTGTTTCATGCAAATCAATGTGACCGATCAGCCTTGCAGTCACTCTGCCTCCTGAACGCCTTGGCCATACCTGTCTTACTCATGCTCAGCAAGTTGTGCAGGCTTCCCCGCAGCTTTGCATGTGCATCTCCACAGGTTAGTTGGGATGCGCGCGTAGGTAGTTGCCACCTGCAGATACGATCCGCAAGGCAACTTACTTGAACGGTCAAATTTCATACCGAAGTGGCAACATCGC